GTCATTAGTCATCCATTGAACGCATTTTGTTAAAATGTCACATTTGTTCAAATAAATATTCAATTAGCCATTTCAATGACAATTTATTTAAATTTTCCGAAGTCACGAGTTGTTGAAATCAAATGAAACATAGCCAGACTCGATGACAGTATAAAAAACTGATATTTTCATTGAAACGATATTAGTTTGAAATCAACTTCTGCTTGCAACTTGTAGTTTTCGTTGATTGTGATCAATTGAGAAAAGTTAAAATGAATTCGATGAAACTTGTTACTGTTATCTTCTTCATTGCTCTCATTGCCTCGTTTAGTTTTGTTTCAGCTCATAAACGTACAGTAACCGACGAAAATGGTGTTTCTAAAATGGTAACCTGCGCTGGAAGGTAAGGACCAGGGTGAACGGAATGCTCTTCATAAATGAAGAGGTAAATGTTTATTTATACAGGGTCCGCCACAATACATGTCAGCCTGTATTTTTTGAATAACTTTTTTATTTTTTCGTCAATCAAGCTCATTCTCACAGAAAATAATCTTGAATAAAGGGGAAACAAAGATATGGACCGGTCAAATTTTTCGGGTATCGCAGGTCAAAATTGCGCCTGCGCGAAATGAAGGTACAATTTTCGGGCGTCGTACGGGTTTTTGTTCTATCTTTTTCGACTGTACAGATATTTTTAGCTTTTTTGCACTGTTTTACAAACTTTGTTAGTCACTTGCCAATGTTCTGAAATAATTTTGTCATTGCGTTCTGATAAAAGCAATTTATAGCCGATTGAATAGGACACTTCATCATGCGTGAATTCGAGCAAATTGAAGCATAAAGCATTGATGGGATGGAGCAGTATTATTTTGCTACTCAATAGGTGCCAGGGGCAAGAAAAGCCCTATGGAGTTATTCTGGACTGAAAAATGTGCATAGTATCTCAGAAATCTGTCTATGAAAGCCTCATTGAATAACATTGGGTCTGAAAATGACTTTTTTTTGCGCAGGCGCCATTTTGACCTGCGATACCCGAAAAATTTGACTGGTCCATATCTTTGTTTCCCCTTTATTCAAGATTATTTTCTGTGAGAATGAGCTTGATTGACGAAAAAATAAAAAAGTTATTCAAAAAATACAGGCTGACATGTTTTGTGGCGGACCCTGTACTTAACATGTGTAAAAGCATATAAAGTATATTCTATGATGAAAAATTAATACTAGTTTGATCTGAATAAAGGTTATGTGAACCATTGAAATTCGATGAAAATTCTACACTCATTTCCATTCCCACCCTTTCTATTTTCTAACCTCAGAAAATTTTATATTCTTTCTTTTCTTTACGATAATTAAATACAATGACAGTATACAGCTAATTAGACAAAAGCAAGCTGTGATCGTTATTTCAAAATTGAAATATTTATCGGGGAAAATGGATGGTCAAATTGGCTTCGAATTTTCGCAATCGGAACAAAATTGTTTAAAAATAACGAAGATTGCCTCGATATGGAAAGTTAACTGTACTGAAATCATCAAAGGTAAACATTTAATGTTTGCATTCCTCGCGAAATGATCGTTGTGGCAAGCTGATAACTGTTACCAAAAAGAAAGATATACGATTTTTTCCATTTAATTTTCATTATCTGGACATTACTTAACACTCTTAAGATGAAGCTTCTCGAGAGTTTTCAGAATATCGGTAAAGGGTCAAAACAGCGAAAGCAAAATAGCGGAAAAACTTTTCCAAGTTTTTGATTCTTTAATGTTAACTACGAGTAACAACTTGAAAATGAATGAAAGGCGATTTACAAAGGTTTCAACATAAATTATCTTGAGCATTCCTTTGATGCACATTGGTTGGCTTTTTTGTAAGTTAATGGTCACTTTTCATTGCTTATAATTTGAAAGCATCAACCTTTCAATCTTAATTTACTTCTTTCTTCCAACTTCCTCCTCAACTCAACAACAATAGTAAATTGTAGCTGTGTTAACATCTTAAAATGGTTTCCTTCAGCAAATCCTTTTCATTTAATAAAATCAAGTCTAAAGGGAAGCAGAAAAGAATCATGAAAAGGAAATGAACAAAAACATTATAATATTAACGATAAAATGAAATTAGGATGAAACAAATGATGGACCCAAAGAGAAGAAGAAAAAGTGTTCAAAGCGAATTGATAAAGAAAAGAGCCTTTTCACTTCAATTGCCAGCCAATTCCACGATTGACCGTATTGATTCAAAGCAAATGTTAAACAGCAAATTATCGATATCAATACCAATCGATTGAATGGTTCAACTTTTATAAATTTCCATGTCTTCTCAACCTTGATGTTCATTTCATCATAAATTCCTTCACCAAAAAACCAAACCTTAAAGGTGAACAAATCAAGAGATGAAATAAATAAAAAACAAAGCTCGAAGCAAAATGATTACAATTATAGTTTTCCTTCCCTGTCAAAACTCCCAGCAATAAATGGATAAACATTGATTCACGAAACTTGTAAAATGAGAAAACATGAAATTTCTTGCAACTTGAAACATCAATTACAGTCGAGTTAAGAAGTTGATTGTTATTCATGAAATAATACATTAAGTGAATTCATGAAAGGTTAACATGATTTGTTGAAGCAAACATTTCTATTCAACAATTGTTTCCATTATTGTATTTCAATCAATTGTTAAATTAACAGATCAAATGAAATGAAATGATTGAAAGACGAAAGCAAATGAGTCCAAAAAATGAACTCTAATTGAATGCTATTATTACATTTAATGTTGTATTTAAATGCAAACATAACTTGAGGGTGAAAATAATTTACTGTTATTATTGTTATTACCAAGTTGATAATAATTATAAGTTTTAATAATAATGAAATCTCATGAAACTTCAACTCTCTGGATAATAATAAAATAATAACATACTAATTACCATGTTAATTGTTTGTATCCAAAGTTTGTGTTGCTTCTCAAATATGAGTTAACATAATTTAACACACATTCAATGTTGATCAATATTCATGGATTGAAAAATTGTGACTGATACCTTGCAACCAGTTATTAATAAGCAGCGTGAAAAAAGGCTAACCTTTGATTATTGTCATACTAATTGCATTGTTATTATGTATAATGGACAATTTAACAAGCCTTGTGATAAAAATTTATCCAATTAACTCACTTTACAGAACGTTAAGTTTAACGAAGCAATTTTTTTCTTCGTCGACAGTTGAAGCTTTGCTCTAATGTTCATTACAAATGCTAGACAAGTTGATGTTGGATGAAATCTCTAGTTATGTGATTGACCGATCGATTGTTTCAGGTTTGTTCAACTTTTGCCTTAATGCAAAATGGCAATTAGCCTTTGATTTTGATCGACTTTATAACTACAAGCTAAACAGTCGAAAGTTTGATTTCTGTGGAAGTTGAAAAATTCAGTGAAAAATGGATAAGGTGAGGTTATTTGCTAGTTATTTGAGTTTCAGTTTTGTTTCGTTTTGAACGAAATTCAACCAATCTGTTAAGCTTTACAAATATGAGAATCAAATCCCCTTTAGTCATCGAAGTTGACATTATTTTAACCAGTCATCAGTTTTTCAGTCTCGCTTTTTATGTGCCTAAACTCAGTGAAGCGACTTTTCAAAAATAGTTGTGAACTTTTGAAGTGTAAAAATGTTTATTGGGACAAAATCATCTTTAGTCAGCAGAGTTTCAGTTAAAGCAAACATGAAAAGACCAAGTAAACTGACTGGGATTTTTATCGAGTCTTTCCGAGTCAACGTTCATTAATTGTCTCAATTCTGAACAAAATTTGTAAAATAAAAGGACTTGAGTAAACCTTACCTGTTGTTTTTGAGGTACAAAAATTTGAGATTCCCACCAAAGTCTTTAAAAGAGTTTTCCTCAACAATTGTGATGTTATTTCCTCTAAGATCCAACTGCCTTAACCGCGTCAAATTTTGAAGCGCATAACTGGGTATTGAGTTTAAAATGTTATCACCTAATGTTAACCATTCCAATGAATCTGTGTAAAACAAAAATTATTCAATGAAAATGGACAGTTGAAGAAGAGTTGGACAATCTTGTGTGGACAAATTATTGATGAAATTACCTTCGATTCCTTGGAATGCAAATGGATGGATTGCTGAGATGCGATTCTTTTCAAGAGCAAGTGAATTAAGTGAGCTTAAAGATTGGAAAGATTTTTCAGGTATTTCCTTGATATTATTGGAAGCTAAATTGAGTGCATCTAAACTATCAGAGGCAGAGAAACCTTTAAATGTATTAACATCTATTGAAGTTATTCTGTTTTCATGGAGCTGAAGTCTCTGGAGGTTGAAATGGAAAAGAAAGAAGCACGAAGAAGAAGAAGAAGAAGAAGGAAAAAACAAGATTAATGGATAAAATAATAATGTTGTTGTTAGCTTTTGATTATAAGAATGATTTTCAGAGTAAATGTTATTCAAATCTGAAAAGTGTTGAATGTGAAAACTTGAAAAGCTTAAAAAATAATGGCATCAGAATGGAGTGTAAAAAAGGATGCAAAGTAAATACAAAATGTCATTTAAAAGCGTAAACATTTTAATCGCACTTTGATTGTTTCGCTTTGATTGAAGTGACTTTAATTTTCAATTGTCAACTTATTTACTCTGCTTTTGTCTCTTCAACAATTAATCTTTTCACAAGTTAACGATTCCAATTCCTTTTCTATTCCAAACAATTAATCTTTTCACCAAAATCATTTAACTTGAAGAACTTTTCATTTTTAAATTTCATTCTCTCCTCTGATCATCTCAATGTAAATTCAAAGTTTAATTGAGCTTTCGAGCGAACCAAAAGTTCATGCAAAATAAAGCTTCGAAAAAGTTTAAATTGTTTCTCTATGAAAGCTTATAAAATAATGCAAAAAGCATAAGCTAATTTAAAACACTTAAACATATTAAAACCAGTTGAACCATTAACTCAAATCACTCATTAACTTAAAATGTTGAACAATTTAAAACTTGAAATTATATTAAAACAAAAACGGTTCAATGTTATTAAATTATCTAAATAAGTTTAGCTCATAATAAAGTAAAGTATATCTTGACGTTGATCTGAAAATGGTAAACTCGAGTTATGATGGAAAAGGCAATCAACAAGACAATTAATTCTCAACAACAGGAATTGGAATCAACTCGATTGTTCAATAATTGCAAGATGAGATTATGTGCTTTGGGTAAAGGAAGAAAAACTATTTTCGATGAAAACATTTACTGAGTTGAGGCGAGTGGGAACAAGAATAGGAAATCCTTTGGATAAAGGATTATCAATAAACTTTTATAACGCTAATAATGTTAATGATGATGATAATAAAGAGTTTTTGATCGCCTTTGCAATTCCCTTTGAATAATGGTTTGTGTATTTAAAGGTGCAAAAAGTGATTAGCATTTGAATTTGGGTTTGCAATGAAGAAGAAGGGAATTGGGAAAAGACAAAAGAAAATTTTTGCTCAGCTTTTTCCTTCTCTCGCCTTGATCATGAAAGGGTTTGTTGGG